GAGAGACCATATGGGCTAAATATGTAGAATGGGAGCTAACAGCCCAATCTTTGCATTGTTCTAGCCATTTATCAAGTGTGCAAAAGGACTTGAGACTAAATATACGCTTTAGACATACCTTTCCCACATTCTACTATTACTAAAATTGACTAATTTATAAGCTTACATGACATAATAGCTTAGAAAATGCAAAGTAAATTGAGATGAGAAAATGGGTTAACTAAAGACGAGAGAAGTGTCAGCCAATTCCTTCAAAATTTGGAGGAATTATATCATTCCTCCTTAAGGTGGCCTAATTCCTGTTCTAAGCTTTTCTACCTCGCAAGTATTATGTTAGGCCAGCTTTATGTCAACTCAATCTTTAACATTCATTGACGTGAAGGATATAATTGAAAATGTTAATGAAAGAAGGAAGAATCGTCCGTCCTGTTTACTTACCTGAAAGAAGGAAAAGAGTTTGTTTCGGTTGAGTCTTGAAAGCAGAAGAAAGAAGAAGAGGTGAAGGAAAGAAAAGGTTTAAGGTTAAAGTTGAGTCGAATGAATCTTGAGGGCTTATAGTGAGTGAAAGAATAACGAACCAGAACGGAAGGCTAACTTGAAAAGATGCCCAAATATTGCACACAAACATATATTCAGCCTTCAACTTATGATACTTTGTACTGCAAATTTGTCATGTATCGTCTGACCCTTAATAATATACCATTGAATAACTTTATGAATTGGGAAAAACATCAACATTCTCATCTCAAATAACGTTTTCAATATAACCATAGTATAAAATCAAAGGAAGAAAAAACTTTCACCGAGATATTTAGCAACATCTCTATGAAAATAACAAAGAGATTTGGCACTCTGATTCAACCAAAAACATGCACAAAGGGAACAGCAGGGAAGTTCACAGAAGGAAAGTAAACGTTTAGCTCAATACTTGGAGTGAAGCAACTAAGATTATGTTAAACTACTTCCAAATTTAAAAAGGTACAAAGATACATATAGCAAATCATAACAGGATATTGGGAATGGACATTAGAGGTTCAAATATTCAACCAACAAACATTTCAAGTAGAATTTGTCTGACCTCCGACGTTGCAACCGTACAAAGGTCCTAATGTCCATACTTCTGGAACTCCCATTCGCTGTTATCTGAAAAGCATAACAAAAGTTCAATCAAGAATGAGCAGAATTTTCATACAGTGCTGTGAATTAAAAACATTAAAGGATACTAGAAAGTATACCCAATGGACAAACTTGGCGAGTCTTCAACCAACGACTAATGCAGTGGAAGTGAAAAGCATGGTTGCATACCCCTGCAAATAACAATCTTAATAAGTGCAAAATCAAAGCATTGAGGTAAAGAAAAGAGTTAATCCCTAAAGGAAAGAGAGATTATCAAAAGGGACTCAAAACAAATTTATGGTTTAACCATGCATCCAAAGGACTGCGGACACAAGAGATCAAATGACGAACCACCATGAAAATCCCCGATGGATCTGAAACTTCTAGAGTTTAAAATAGCTTACATGAACAACATAAAACAAAGAAAAGCAAGGTCCATTCAACAAGAGAATTGTTAATGTCTGGCAGTGTGATCAAGAAAAATAAGTAGGTTAAGATAATTTTTCAGTCACTGAGATATCTCAAGGCAGCTTTGCACAACCACCAGAAGACAAAGTGATCAAATTTACCAGCATAAGAAAAGTAAAATAAGGAAACAAGAACAAAAGCTAAGGTTTCAGAAAAGAGGCGTAATAGCATACCCCAAGCGACAGTACATTCCTCACTAGTGGCACTCGCCTGATTCGCCTGACATTCAATGCCTAAAAACCAAACCAATCGGGACACACAACAGTAAGAAACATCAAATCAACAACCAAAGCCACATCTAGAATTAAAGAACACTGAGAACTCCAGAAACTCTTTCCAACTTACAGAGATCCATTATGTGATTCCTACAAATAGCACAATTATCGACAACAATATCTGCACAAGTAAATTACAAATTACGTTACAATAATCATTAAGAAACATCCAAACTACTGCAACATATCTCTACAAGAAACCGTAAAATTCGAAATTAAGGTTTGAAAATACCCCAAGCCCAAAGAGCGACAGCATTCCACTTCTTGATCTCAAATCGCTTAGGTTTCTTGGAGGATGAAGGACCAGCACTACTCGAAGCCTCACCAGCAGGAACCATAGGCACATCCGAATCCAGCGTAGCCATGGCTGAAACCTCGACCGCAGAGCGTCAGTTCTCCGGTCAGCGGCGGAGAAAAAACCCGGGAAGTGAAAGAAGAATATCGTAGCTTCGTGTTGCGAAAGAGGTCAAGAATCTAGATTAGACAATTTCCAAAAGTCTCTTATTTGTTTGGGCCTTCTCTTTATTCGGCCCATTTAGATCGGTCCATAAAAATGGTAATTGTCGAAAATATACAAATATTTATAATTAAATATTTTCAAACATATATTCTTTTATTTTATATTTTTTTTCCTTAAATACCTTTATTTTATTTTATTTATATTTTTAAAAAATATTATTTTATTGAATAAAATTTTCACCACAAATCTCAACCATTCTAAGATGCCCTCAAAGGGGTGGATTGTGAGATTCCATGTAATCATTTCTTACAGTGTAGAAACCTCTCCCTAGCAGGCGTATTGTAAAACTGTGAGGCTAAGTAATCGAAGAAGATGGAGATATTCAAAAGTTGAGATTTTGGCTTTGGGTTCTTGAAAGGAGTGTCGTGGATAAGAAAACTTGTAAGGGTCTATTTGGGACGGTTGAGCTACATTGAGTTGAGCTACCCGTTTGAACTTAGGGTTTAAAAACTCAATTCCAGTCATTTCTTACTATGAACTTTCAAGACGTTGGTTTCTTGTTTGTTTTTTTCATGAATTTTACCATGTAGTGACTGTTAATGTATTATAGCACATGAATTAAATGTATCAGAGCTCGACATCGGACGGTGTGCCAACAAGGACATTGGGTCTCAAAAGGGGTGGATTGTGAGATCCTACATCTGTTGAAGAGGGGAACGAAACATTGCTTATAAGAGTGTGGAAACCTCTCTAGACACATTTTAAAATTATGAAATTGACAGTGATACATAACGGACTAAAACAAACAATATCTGCTAGCAGTGTACTTAGGTTGTTACATTACTAGTTCAAAATCTTGTACTTAGGTTGTTACATTACTAGTTCAAAATCTTTCTCCAATGTATGACAAAAACTAGAATTCAACACTCCTTCATAACTCGAGCCAACGTAGCAGTCCAAAAACATATTTAGCAATCCAAACACAGATTTATAGACAACGTGTAGCACTCCAAAAACACTAAACCAACTTAACAATCCAAATACACCGACTTATTAACTAAAGATTTCATAACTCGATGATGCCCGTTAGTATCTAATCATCTCATTGGCACAACGCCCCGTGCAAGGTTTGCATTAGAAAAAAAAGGCAAGATATGTAGGCGTTACCTTATTTTATGCAAATGGTGTGTGTGTGCGCATGTATGTGTGTGTCCGTTCTGCCCAGCCCTCTTTATCACTCCTTTCCTTTTAAATAAAAAAGTGTAAAAAAGAGACCATTTTGTCTCTTTCTCCCATGCATCTCTTGCCCTTTTCCTCATTCAACTCTTCCGTCCTTCCTTTGTTTTTACTTCTCCAAAATTCCAAAATTCCAATTCCACTGCCTTGCCTTATCCGTACGGACGGAAGAGCAGATATTGTCCTTTTTAAGCTTGTCCTTTTGAGCTTTCCCTTGAAGCCTTAGACTTCCCCTTAAGGCTTTAAAAGCTATATTGTCCTTTCTACGCTTCCCCTTTTGGACTTCCCCTTAAGGCTTTAAAAGCAACTAGGAAGAAGGTTTCCATACCCTTATAAATAGTGGTTTATTCTCCTCCCTAATCAATATGGGATATCACAATCCACCCCCCTTCGAGCCCCAGCGTCCTCGTTGGCACTTTTTCCTTCCTTCAATCGATGTGGGACTACCCCCAAATCTACCTCCTTTGGGGCCTAGCGTCCTTACTAGCACACTGTCTCGTGTCTACCCCCTTTCGGGGAACAGCAAGAAGGCTGACACATAGTCCAGTGTTTGGCTCTGATACCATTTGTAACGACCCAGATCCACCGCTAGCAGATATTGTTCTCTTTAGACTTTCCCTTTCAGGCTTCCCTTCAAAGCTTTAAAACGTGTGTCCTAGGGGAAAGTGTCCACACCCTTGTAAATAGTGGATTGACTCCTCCCCAACCAATATGGGATATCACATAGTCCTTTTAGTTCATCTTCCATTTTGTTGATTCATGTAAACATTAATGTTTCTATGTCTATGTAAAATGTTGTCTAGAATGGTTAAGATGCATAGAGACTCTGTAGTGTAAAATATAAACTGTATAAACGCTTTGATTATTAAGATTTGTTGTTACCCGTGGACGTAAGATGATTTCTTCTTTCCAAACCACATAAATCTCTGTATCTCTTTATTTAATTTATGTTTGTGGGTGTATAAGTACGATCGAACTTGCTTCTGCTTCGGTTACAACATCTTCCAAGTCCTACAGGCATTCACGTTGGCATATAGTTTTTGAGAGAGTATTGATTGTACTATAAGTTGATGCAGAATTTGGTTGTTTTGTGAGTGGGTTTGTGTTTGTAGCCATTCATTCATATGCAAGGAAAGACAAAATTATAGATACAAAATCCCCACTCACGGGTTACTACTTCAAAACAAGCTAAACCCGTGAGAGGAACAACAAATTTTGTACCCTTCTTTTTCCATCTCTACTCAATTTCCATGCACTACCCCCCTAATCTTTATTTTCAATATAGAAACAACAAAATTCATTGAATAACGTTCATTATGGACTAGGCATGGTCTTCTTTTCTCTCGTGACAAGTTCACCGCTGCAACTAAGCCAAAAAAAGTATACATTTTGGAGGTGGAGAAGTTCTAAGAAATCTGTTCAACGTAACTCTACGTGGAAAACACTTCATCGAGAAGAGATTATAAGACATTTTGAGACTACTTAGGATGAAAATATAGGTAGGGTGTGAGAATAGTAAAGATTTATTGGGATGAAAATTTATGTGGATGGAAGTACGTAAATCACTAGTAGGCTAGTGATGATATTTTAACACTGCCCTCAACACTAGTCTTCATCCGTTGTAACATGTTGAGCTGACACTAAAAGCTCTCATGTTTTAGCTCTTTCGTAAACAAGTACGACACTTGGTCTTCTGTCTTGATCTGCTGTATCTCGATTTCTTCTTTCGAGACTTTCTTACTAACATAATAGGGCGAACTCGTTTTGATACTAAATAGTGATGATATTTTAACAAAATCTTGGGGCGAACCGAAAATTAAACCAGACACTGGTTCCTGCATTGTCCTTCTCTAACAGCTCTTTTTTTTTTGAAAGTCGGCTTAGTTTTGGGCTGTGCTAAGCCATTACCCTCCTTCCTCGCTCTACTTAAATGCTTTGCTATGAGTAAGATATTGCTCCACTCTCCCTTTCTTCCCATGGGCTCAATGGCAATTGTTGTTCTTGTTCTCGTTGTTCTTCTTGTTCTTCTTGTTCTTCATCCTTGTGTCTTCGTCGATGCCAAGACAACCTACATTGTTCGCATGAAACATCATGCTCTGCCTTCTGAGTATCCCACCCATCATCACTGGTACTCTGCCCACCTCCAATCCCTATCCTCCTCCGCCACCTCTGATTCCATTCTCTACGCCTACACTTCCGCCTACAATGGCTTCGCTGCTTCTCTCAATCCAGAGGAAGCCCAATTGCTTCGCCAATCGGATTCCATTCTGGGTGTCTATGAAGACTCTGTTTATAACCTTCACACCACTCGAACTCCGGGATTCCTCGGCCTCAACTCCGATTTCGGCTTCTGGGAAGGTCACAACACTCAGGATCTCCACCAGGCTTCTCATGATGTTATTATTGGGGTTATCGACACCGGGATTTGGCCGGAGTCTATGAGCTTTGATGACACTGGAATGCCGGAGATTCCATCGCGGTGGCGTGGAGAATGCGAATCAGGGCCCGATTTCCACCCTTCACTCTGTAACAAGAAACTAATCGGAGCTCGCAGCTTCTCGAAGGGTTATCAAATGGCTTCTAATGATGGGTACTTCGGAAATCCAAGAGAAAACCAGTCGCCTAGAGACCAGGATGGACACGGCACGCACACAGCAAGCACGGCTGCTGGGTCACATGTGGCTAACGCGAGCTTACTTGGGTATGCCAGAGGCATTGCCAGGGGGATGGCTCCTCAAGCGAGAGTTGCAGCTTACAAAACCTGTTGGTCCACTGGTTGCTTTGGATCTGACATTCTTGCAGGTATGGATCGGGCAATATCCGACGGTGTCGATGTACTCTCACTCTCTTTGGGCGGTGGCTCTGCACCTTATTACCAGGATACCATTGCAATAGGAGCATTTGCAGCCATGGAGAATGGGGTTTTTGTTTCGTGCTCAGCTGGGAACAGTGGGCCAAACTTGGCTTCTCTGGCTAATGTGGCACCTTGGATCATGACAGTCGGAGCTGGAACTCTAGACCGGGATTTCCCAGCTTATGTCCAACTAGGAAATGGCAAGCGGTTCACTGGAGTGTCGCTCTACAGTGGCCAAGGAATGAACAAGCCGGTGGGTTTGGTGTACAAAGAAGGAAGCAACACCTCCAGCAACATGTGTTTGCCCGGTTCTCTTGACCCGGAATTGATCAGAGGGAAAGTGGTGGTCTGCGACAGGGGAATCAACGCCAGAGCAGAGAAGGGAGGAGTGGTGCGAGATGCTGGTGGGTTTGGGATGATTCTGGCAAACACAGCTGCTAATGGAGAGAAATTGGTGGCTGACAGCCACTTGCTGCCGGCTGTGGCGGTGGGGAGAATAACCGGCGACATGATCCGGCATTATGTGCGGTCAGTTTCGAAGCCGACGGCGGTGCTAAGCTTTGGTGGGACAGTTGTGAACGTGCGCCCATCTCCAGTGGTGGCGGCTTTCAGTTCCCGAGGACCCAACTTGGTAACGCCCCAAATCCTAAAGCCGGACGTTATTGGGCCTGGCGTTAACATCTTGGCTGCCTGGTCTGAGTCCATTGGACCTACTGGATTGGACAGCGACAAGAGAAAAACACAGTTCAATATTATGTCAGGTATGTCCTAAATGGCTCTTGCTTAGGCTTACCCTTTCGCTCTTTAGCTGATAAATCTCCTGCTATTTAGGAACATCCATGTCTTGCCCACATATAAGCGGGCTGGCGGCATTGATGAAGGCAGCTCATCCGGAATGGAGTCCAAGTGCTATCAAATCTGCGTTAATGACCACTGCATACACGCAGGACAACACCAACTCATCTCTCCGGGATGCTGCCGGAGGGGCGTTTTCCAATCCATGGGGTCATGGAGCTGGCCATGTTGATCCACACAAAGCCCTCTCCCCAGGTCTTATATACGATATCTCGATCGATGACTACATTGCCTTCCTGTGTTCCTTGGACTATGGGATTGATCATGTTCAGGCAATTGTGAAGCAATCGAATGTAACGTGCTCCCGAAAGTTTGCAGACCCAGGACAACTTAACTACCCTACACTTTCAGTTGTGTTTGGGGGAAAGAGGGTGGTTCAATACACTCGTGAAGTCACGAATGTTGGGGCTGCAGGGTCGGTTTATGAAGTGGCTACTACTGCACCGTTGGCTGTGAATGTGATGGTGAAACCGTCAAGGCTTGTTTTCACTAAAGTTGGGGAGAAGAAAATGTACACTGTCACATTTGTGACAAGCGGGGATGCTGCTCAAACCGCAAGATATGGGTTTGGATCGATTGTGTGGAGCAATGATCTACACGTAGTCAGAAGTCCAGTGGCTTTCACCTGGACAAGGTTGTGATTGTTGTTTTTGTATAGGGCGTTTTCCATTTGATACTGGTTTTTCCAATCCGCCAGCAAGAAGTTGATGATCAACAAGAGAACGATCATCATCATCATCAAGCATAGGAAAGTTGGGTAGAAGAGTCTGAAAAGTTGGGTCAGTTTACGAAGTTGGGAAGTCCCGGGGAGAGAGTTGAACCTAATGTAATGCCATAACACATACTTCGTTTACTTTCACTTTACTATTTCCTAGTTATCTCGTCCGTTATTTCTATTTTTGTATAACAAACTTAAGGCTATCACTAGCAGATATTATCTGCTTTAGCCCATTACGTATCGCGTCTACTAGGGAGAAGTTTCTACATCCTTATAAGGAATGTTTCATTCCCCTCTCCAACCGACGTGGGATCTAACAATTCAGCCCCCTTGGGAGACAGCATCCTCGTTAGCACACCACCAAATGTTTGGCTTTGATACCATTTGTAACAGCTTATAACAGTCCAAGCCCACTGCTAACAGATATTCTGTCTCCTAGCGATACGTAACGGGTCAAAGCGAATAATATTTACCAGCGAAACTGTAAAACTAGACAAAGCAGCAGTGACCAACAGAGACCTTGCCCAATTCATATGTCAAATTAAAAAACAGTCCAATGCAGCCTATCCGTATTCAACTCACAAGCAAAGTAGCATAAGAACAATCATGAACCGATCAGTGGGGGAGTACTAAATATTAGATAAAGATCATGAGCATAGTATCTCAACCGTTGATGCAAGAAGCATATGGGGCCAGGCTAATCGATTCAGATTATACCAAAGCCTCCAGTAGTACGATTAGTTCAGGGACTTAACAAACAGGAGGATGTTTTCACAAAAGAGTAACAAGTGATAAGACAACTCTATAACCATATAGACAAATTGTGGCCAATCAGTTCTAATGATACCCATCAATAATCCAGCAGTAGGACCCTGATTAAACAACTCAAAATATTGTCTTAAATAATTTAAAAGGCATACCAATCGTATTCCCACTAATAAATATGGACAAAATCAATAAAAAGTAGAATATATTCATAATAATGTACATTGATTATATCAGAAGCGAGCAGGGGTCAAAAACAACAACATAAAGAGCAGGGGTCACAACAGGATTTTGTACAGAAGCGACAAGAAGGTACCTGTGAACATTTTGGAAAAGAGCACTTACAGCTGCATTTGCATTCGCAGCAGCAGCAGCCATCGGAGCATGAGATCGAAGGTAATGACAAAGTGCAACACCGTCTACGGCACGAGATGTTTCTACAGCAAAATGAAGATGGACAGGAGAAGAAACTACACTTCGGCTTATTACAGCAGTTTGAACATGATGGGAAGTTGCATGGTTTGCAAACACAGCAGCGAGGCACCTCAAGGGAGACAGAGCATCCAGTGCAAGAGCAGCAGCACAGCCATGACAAATTAAAGCAAGGAAATCCGCTGCATACAATCGTAACAAATGTTATACAAAAAAACGTAATCAGTGATGAGCTAAAATCAGAATTCATATGTTGAAAGTTCTAACCATAACCACTTCCAGAAGCGGCATCGCTTATGTTTTGTCCTACATCTGCTTGATAAAAAAAAGGGGCATTGTTCATAACTGATGCAACCTTAAAATTATGCAGGTTAGTTTAATTAAAAAGGAAGTCTTACGTAGGCGTCAATGGATCTGAGTTGACCGTAACAAAGTCGCTAATCCTGCAAAAGACTGGATGGATCAGTCTCCCGTTTGGATGGGTTCAATTAACGGAAGAAAGACATCAGAACTTCAATAAATTACAAGATGATGAAACTTATTAAGAAGAAACATACTCTTTGCAGCATATAGAGACGGGTTGAAGACTTTCAACAGATTTTAGTTCGTCCTGTTTCAAGAAAACTAGAAAAATGTAACGACGCATTGAGCTAATAATAAAGCAATCATTGCTAATTTGAAATCGGGAATTGTGCCTCATGACATGTGTGAACATTGTATTTAATTTCAATTTTTCGTGTAACATGTGGCATTTGTCCAGCTAAACGATCCCATAACAGGAGATAATTAGTGCAGAATAAATATGCTTTTATCTGGTAAACAGAAAGGAGAAGACAACGAGTCCATTAATTTTCAAATTCCATGGATTTTAGTGAGATAGAGATTGAATTCTTGTGTTTTTCATTCCCCTAGCTTTGGGGAAAAGGCAGCCCAAGAAATTTAGAAGCCAAAATTTTTTCTTGGATTTTCCTATCCCAGAGACTTCCCAGGTGGTGCTTTTCCATGAAGGTCTGGGAGAAATTTTTTTCTGCCACGAAATGGAAGTTCTAAGCTTATCGAATCTGTTTTAGAACTGCAATGAGAAACTAGCTCCTAAAATCAAGCAAACAGATCTGCATGTAGAACTGAAAAATTCCGTGCCTACTTAGCAAAGCTAATGACAAAAAGGAGAAATGCTTGCAATTGAACTATAAGTTTCAGAATATGAAGATAGTAACAATCAATTCAAATTCGAACAAACCTCAAGAATACCAATTTCTCTTTCAAGCATATGAATCTTGGCTATTTCCCGACGCTTCCCATACAAATCCGGGTACTCCGGTGGAGACTTTGGACAAGGTGGTGGCAGCGAAGGCACTGATGAAGAGTAAACAGACCGAGCAGCCATTGCTCGAGTCACTTCTCAGGGCACCCGACACTGATAGAAACCCAGTCGTGAATCACCAAAGGTCAGAGCACAGATGAGAAAGAAAACAACACAGAATGTCTATAACAGCAGAAATATAAGTATGCAGGGAAGAAGCAGAGAGTGAAGAAAAGAGTAACTGCAAAAGCAAATGACGAACTAAAGCAACAGTTAATGTTGGGTATGAATGGTCTTACATGGGTAGTGACAGAACAGTAATACGAAAGGCTGACAAAGATAATTACAGCCCACAAAAGAAAGCCGCTCTGCAAGTAAACTGCAGCACATAAATGTATGAATCAAGTTGTGGGTTGCAGGGTTTTTAATGATGCAAGTGATAATGAGGCCAGAAAGAGAGTCATTATTGTCATGTCACAGGCTTTGAGTGAAAAAACGAGCCTTTTCTCGACTCGAGGCAATACCATTCTTTTATGAGAGAGACTGAGAGGAGGAGTTAAAATATTTCTTTTCAAGAACTCAGCTTTCCATTAATAATGTAAAGACGGCTGTGAGAAAAGCCTGTGCCTAGCGTCCCTAAGTCTGTATAAGACTGGTTATCAAAGTTGAGGCATCTGGGTTTCCTTCAAGTAAGATTTTGGAGTTAAGTCATTCTTTAGCCTCAATGGAGTATGAAGAAATGAGCATAATTAAGTAAGTTTCTGTCTCTGTTTAAGCTGTTTTGGGTGTTCAAAGCAAAGAAGAAAAATGGGAAGTAGGTAGAGAGCTCAGAACGCACGTGGAGGAGAGATGCCTAGGAAAGGGTGCCATAGATCATATGACGAATCAGCATCTCGAGCTAGACAAAGAGGAAACTACAGATTAATGTAATGTAAACACTGAATCATATACATTGAAAAATAAAAGCTCCAAGGCAAGCCAGTTGAACAAATGGGGAAAAGAAAACTACCTGACATTTCATCAAACAGTTGGTGTGCGTGTGAGCGTGACCACGGGTTTAAGACTGAGGGGGGTACCCGGGCCTCATATCAAATCAAATAGTGATGAAAAGCAGCCAATATCTGGCCCATTATTAGGTCTTGGACAATCACATGAACAGAACAGGAGAGAGCGATATGGGCCTCTGGAAATCTGGGAACTGAAGGCGACGGAGGGGGTCTAGTCTACTCTTATATTTGGATCGTCGAACGGATTGGAAACAGATGAAGAAGACAAAAAAGGAAGTGGGGCAGTGACGTATCCGATTGAAGAAACAGTGCCAGATTCGAAGCTCGAGGTCAAATTCAATTCCCTTTACGCTATCGTGAAGCTCTGAATTCTGAATTTCTGATGGACTCTGTAGCTCGCCGGTGATTTCTGCCAATGTTCGGCCACAGCCACCAGTTTCGAGAACAATCGACACTGCAGCAGCTCGGCGGAGCCTGGAGGAGCAGAGTAGGACCCATTATGGGTACTCGTGATTCTTATCGAACTTCTACATTCTCTGCCAAGGGGCTTATGTGTTTGAAATTCGAAAATGGCGGTTTCGGGATGAAGATCGAAATCTTTTGTTACTCCGGCATATGAACTTGATTTTCCCATGGAAGTACCGACTGATTTCTGGTTCTTGAAAACCATAATTCCAGAAGAATTTTGACACTTTTTTGTGAGATCAGGGTAGTGAGAAAGCATGGTTTAAAAGTGCAGGAATATCACTCTTTAATATATGCATTTTAAAATAATATATGCATTTTAAAATTGCAAGGCTGACTGCGACATATAATGTCATATAAAATTGCAAGGCTGACTGCGACATATAATGTACAAAACATAATGTACAAAAACTGACAGATGATATATATAGTTTTTAGGACGGTCATAAATTTATAATTAAGACTAATTTTAAAATTTGTTAAAAACATTGAAGATTTCAAAGTAAAATGGCTAAAATAGATCAAAATAATATTTTAACCTTACAAATATCTTGACATTATCTAAATAAAACAAATGTGGAATATGAGGATCTGAAAACCGACCTCAAGAGATAGCATATGTCAATGTTCAAAAAGTTCCCCTTAACACAAAATCGAAGCAAAAATTGAAAGAAGTCATCATATTCCATATGCATTCGAGATAGTTTTCAATTAGGACAAGGTTGTTAGAAACGGAACTCTCTTTACAAACAAGTTGAAGTTTTCTCAAGTTAGGAAGATGCGTTAGAAGTACTTTCGTTAGATTACTTTATTCCAACCATCTTTGAAAGTGATTTTAGAATGACCAAAATCACCTTTGTTTGGCCGTTTTTAGTTATTTTGATCACGACGAACGTGTTTTGACCGTTCTAAAATTACATCAAAAGGGATCTTCTTTCTCCAATAAAGCTGATTTTGAACTTAAACTCACAGATTGTCAAAATTGATGGCTTTTTGAGGATTCTAAACACAAACTTCTGAAAAACTATTGCTTGTTTCCACAAGATATGTACTACAAAGAATCTTTCTTTATGGCTTTTCTTGGGCAACAAGCACTAAAGCATCTAGCCAAAGTGCATATAGAATAATTCCCAGAGCCCTATTGGCTAAAACTAACTGTGCGTGAACCATTCGTTGTGTCCTTAAACAAGCAACCTTGACTTCAAGCCATTGATACTCACCTTCTTCAAACCTTCCTAGCAATAATCAATCATTTACCTTCGAATCTGTTTAGAACTTCATAAAAGAGTGCAGAAATACCAACAAAGAAACATAGCTTAACTACAATTGGAAAGATGGTTCCATTGGTTAGCAAACTATATTGTTCATCTACTGAGGTTGTGTACGTCATTAGGAAGAGACCACATGTCATTAACGGAGGAGGTTTCGTGGTGACAAATTGTGACCAGAAAGTTGTTTTCAGTGTTGATGGGTGTGGGATTCTGGGAAAAGCAGAGGAGCTGATTCTAAGAGATGAGAGGAGGGATGCTTTGCTTTTGATCCGTGGGAAGGTAATATCTAAGTGTTCTACATGTTTCCTAAACAAGTCTTTTCCACTTTTCCAGCATAAAAATGGTCGATTTGGGATTATTCAGCACAGTTTTATGTTTCAGGGAGGGATTTTTGAGGCTCTAAGCTTTAATAAGATATGGAATGCTTACCGATACGACTTTCAAGGATCCAAAAAGCTGGTTTTCAGCTTGAGAAAGCCCAAGTCATGTCTTCCTGTGGACAAAGATACTGGAATTAGAATCACAACAAAACCAAACCTCGGCAAGAAAGATTGGGACTTTGAGATCAGTGGATACTTCCCTGGTAAAGAATGCAGCATCATTGATTCTCAAGGCAATTTAGTAGCTCAGGTGCGATTGAATCTCTCTTAGGATTACCTACTTGCTATATCTACCAAACGAGCCTTCCCTGCCCGCACATCACCTGGCTTGATACTGTCTAATACCAACTATATATAGATATAGATATAGATTTCGAAAGAAACCGAGCTTTTATTGTGGAAAACGAAAAAACAAAGGCAAACAAATAACAAGCCCAACAGCAGAAAGGAATCTAATAACTAACTACAGAAATAGGCTCTAATCCAGCAAAATCAAACCAAGATCATAATTACAAAACGAGCTAGCAACACCATCTAGATATAATCGAAGAGAGGAGGATGGTTGATTCGCCCTAGTATATTCTTACTTGTTTTAAATGACTGCAGATTGGAAAGAATAAAAAGGCTGGAGTCCTGTTGAGCAAGGATCTCTACTATGTGTCAATAAAACCTGGAATTGATCAGGCTTTTGTTGTTGGAGTCATTGCCATTCTCGACAACATCTATGGCGAATCAACCAGCTGCTGAATTCATAAAAGGGACGACAATCAAGTGGGGAGGATGGTAATTGCTTGTCCTCTTCCCTTTAAGGAATGCAGCTCAAAGTTTCAGTTGTGATTAAATTGGAGATTTGTGGCAGCACTCCATTTCACGCTAGTCTCCATGAACTGGGTCTGCATTTTTTGTTAACTGCAATGTATTCTTCTAACTTTTGTAGTTGTCCGTGTAAATGTAATTAAACTTTTAGCTTCTCTAGTGCCTTTAATCTTCCATATGCCTTGCATTAGGATGCTTGCTACCATATAAGAGTAGATCAAGCAGGCCCTTCTCCTGGAAGTCATTATAACTGTGGGAAAAGATGAAGGCAACTGTAGCAGAATATTCAATAACAGAAACAATAGAATTAAAGAATCAGGCGCTTGCATATCGGCATTTTAGCATTGTTGTCCATCAAAGAGAAAACACATACGGTCTACGTTACATGTAACGAGCAGATGAAAATCAGAGAACAAATTGCAGATTCGCACTTCAGTGTTCCCTCTAAAGATAAGTTTCTGAATGCTTCCTTCTATACGTATCAAGAACACTTGATCCTCAAATCACAACTACAAGGATTGAGGGAAGAAAACGTAGAAACAGCTTTTCCATTCAATATGTAAACAAACTGTAGATTACTTGGATGTACATGGAATATAAAGCAAAATGAGCCCGTAAGGTCGATACTTGTAAATAAAAAGATAAATAAGTACCCGATTAATTTCTTCAACGTTCCCATCTGTCCGATCATGAATGCATTCGCAGGGGGAACATCTCAAAGAAAATTCTGGAAAGTATTTGCAGAGAATATGAGCCCTTCATAAACTGAATCCAAACAGATTTTACGAGCTAAAAACTAAAAATGGTTTGATTGAGCAGCACTTTTGATCCTAAATGAGAGGGTACTACCATAATCTCCTAGCTCAAAAATCATATTCAATACAACCCTCAGAAAAGAAAAGAGAGTTTAAAATGAATAACATGATAAGAATCTTTTAGTTTCATTTCACTAAACAATTCTACGATATACAAATCATGATATTAACAGGCAGATGATGCAATAAAAAGTCAAGGCATCATAATCTGCTACAACATCATCTATAATAACTATTTCGAGTCCCGAGAACGATCATGACCTTTGGGTACCGTTCAATCAAAGTGTATGTTACACTGGCCTGCTTATAGTTGAGACGCCTATGATTAGCTCAAACGAATATTTATTGCCAGCATTAGTGCTCCACCATAGATGTGCTCACCCTGAGGATGAGAAACGAGAAATAGATAACAATCAAGCCAACTCCTAGATTTTTGTTTGGGCGCATACCATTCCTAGGTAACACAACAAGTGACCAAATAAGTCCTGACATTAAAAAACTCAATGTATAAAACAAGCTACTATCTCTAGGAAGCATGTAAGGTGCAGGTCGATGGGACATGGCTCCAAGAAGCATGGAGATACCCAGCCCCGCAAGAGTATTGAACATAGGACCAGCATAGCACCCAGACATAGCAATCTGTACACTATCTCCACCATTCATTGCCAGTGCTACATTAGACATCAAATCACCCATTGAGTTGCCCCAGGCCAACACTGTTAATCCAAGAATTGATGGGTTGACTCCAAAAATTAAACCTAATGTCATCAACAAAGCTACTAGCTCATTTGCAACAATGTAAAACCAGACAATGCTCATAAAAAATCCCCCAAAGACCCATGGAAACAAAGCCTGGTGAGGTGGCTGATCAGGGCTTGTATACAAATATGCAAGGACGCCAAGCACACCACCAAGGGAAACCCCCAAAAAGTATGCAAATTTTCCACTTAGAGGTCCAAGATCATCTTGGGTGTTCCATAAACATGCCAGAAGAACGGGTGCTAGCGTAGCACTGGTAACAGCATAAACTTTTGACCATCGTTCCACCTCCACAATGGGAATGGTCAAACGTCTTGGAAGTGTCAATGGAAGTTCAAGAAGTGAAAACAATTTGGAGAAAGAGAAAAACGAGGAGTCATTCGCTGTATCCTCATCATTCCAACCCCATAAAGCTTTTGGACTATCTACACTGCCCTTCATTGTCTGATTTGAATAGATTGCAACATTTGAAGACCACATCCATTGTGGCAGTTTATTTTGGAGATGTGGTACATCACCATCAGAATCGAACTCAAGAAGAGTCGTATAGACCGATTCATCTTCTTCACTTCCAACAGAGAAAATGCTTCCAGTTACAGGAAGTAAAGGTGTTACAGAGTTCAGGGACACTTTTACCGAGTCCTTTTCCAAAATCTCATGTGCGGCAACTACAAATGCATAGACCAAATAAATTGAAACAAACGCAATTGCACTGATGACATTGACCCTACCAAACGCCAAAATTGTAGCAAGTGAGGCAATGACAAACATGAAGAAACAAATGTCTCTGATAAAACATTTCCTATCGATCCTGACGTCCCTCTCAGCAATGCAAAGAGAAACAGCACCAACAACAATACATGTTACGAAGATAGCTCCACCCAAGACACTGTTAAGACCAACTTCACCAGCATCCTTTCCCATAAAAGCAGCAATGCTGGCAAAGACATCAGGAGCACCATTACCAAGAGGAAGCAGCGAAACTCCAGCCACGGTAGCTGGCAAATTCAAGAGATTTGAGAGGTTCTCCAAGGAACAACAAAAATAATCAGCAGCAGTATTACCCAACAGATAGAACAACGCAGCAAGCCAAAATATCAAAGCCACATAACCCAGAAGACTAAAACCTTCACAGTCACAGTAGAAGAACGTAATGTAATTGAAAAATCCACCTGAATTGCAATCGGGATGGGCGATCAAGTACTCACATCGGCTCGGATAATCTCTATGTTCGGTTAATCCAAGACATGATAGGGGGAGACTTGCAGACTTATTATTATTATTATTAGGAGATCCATCAACATCAATGGTATTGTTCGAACCAGAGACTTCAGCGATTCTCCTATGAATCACCCCAACCTGCATATCACCTAAGCTCCATTTAGGTTGAAAAATCGAACGCGAATTTCTCAAGAACTTCCCCTGACCAAGGAACAAACAAAGCAACACAATGGAGCAAATTCCATTGAAAATTCCTCGAGATCGAAAGCTTCTTGCTCTAGAAATCGCATGCGGTCTAGTCATAATCCTCCGTTCGTGATCAATTAATCAACAAAGCCAGTACTTGCTTCCGATTGGTCGTCAATAACAGAAAACTGGAACACAAAACAACAATAAACACAGGGAAACAGAAATGGGCATCAAAACTTCAAAAGATTCAAAACCCTAGTGACGACTGGATGATGACGAAATTCAAACGATACTTTCAGCAAAGCAATCAGAAAACAAGATGGAATCCAAGCATAGGGACATACAGGGATGAAGTTCGAGCTAGCAGAGTAAATGAGAAAGGGGCAAAAGAAAAAAGAGGAGAAAACCTCGTGAATGACCAGAAAATTGTTGGATTAGAATGGAGAGAAATTGAGAAAGTGGAGGAAGTTACCAGTGATTCAGTTCGAGGGCGAAGACGACATGCACGCTGGAGCGGAAGATTGGCGGGGAGGCGGAGACGACACACACGGCGGAGGACGACGCCCCAACCTGAACTTGTCCGACCCGATGAAACGATGCTTCATACGAAAATTACTTATACCCTTCGCTTATCATTCCAAGGTGCTTCCTTTTTTTTTTTTCTTTTTTTCTTTTTTTCTTTTTTTTTCTAAATATAATTTCAATTTTTTTAATATAAAAAATTTCTATTTGAGAGATTTTTTTTTTTTTTTTGTGAATTAGAAATTTAGGTCATCAATTTTGCATTTTTTTAAATTAATTATTCTATTAAAAATTAAATTAAATTTTTTCTCTAACAAAACCTTTTTAGTTTGATAGAACGACAAATTGAACGGGTCATAATTCGGGAAACAGAAATAGTGTTATTTTTTTTTTGCACGAGAACGTCACTACTATGAAGAGTGGAGGGGTAAGTTCTCGATGAAATAGGCTTACTAACCGAAGGATTGAAGGCAGCTTTGTTATCGAGACTACTATAGTTACAACGATATGAATAAAATTGAGACAAAACATAGAACACGTAGAGACTATGGTAACAGAGCTTTGTCGCTCAGACAATGGTTACAGCACAGAGCTCAGACGACCGCCATTGCAAATATTCTTCAAATCTTTCCAATATTTCCATTAAATTTTCAATCTACATTTCGATTTATTTCACTTCCAACTTTCAAGCAAACATAAATGCTCTGTTCTATCACAATTTCCCATTTACATTACATCAATGACGAACTTGACGAACAAGAACGCTAGAAAATGGTCAGTTTTTTCCCTCTAATTTTCAAACCCATTTCGTTAAATGGCTTAAAAATCGTCGGAGAACTCTAACTGAACCCACCCACTAAAGCAAGTTAGTCGCTTGAAAACACTACTCTGCTTTTTGATTTAGCTAGACAAGGAAGGGAAGCAACTACCGGATCGTTGGAGTCTAGCTGAATCGCCGATGACGACGATCGGTTCTAGTTTGATTATGCCACTGGAATTTGACCGGAGAACTCTCGGAGAATCCAAGCTCCGTCGTAGCACCCGCCCCATGGCGGAGATGGGGTGCTCTGTTTCATCCAGAGGGTTGGACGATCTGAACTCCCGACAGAAACTCGCGTGTTGGGCTAACGCTTCTTCGGTGGAAATAAGCGTTCCCGATCTCACAACTTCGTCTTTCACCGCCTCGATGCAGAGCCCACAGATCCACCGGCCATGGAAGCGGTCGCGAACTCGCGAAATGTAAGCAGGGGTGCAATCCTCTGTAAATCCACAGGAATAGCATTTCACACATTCGACCTCCGCCGTCACCACCGCCGCCGCCGCCTGAGAGTTGGAGTTTGGTAATGCCATCGCCAGTAACATGACAACGAAGTCTTATCTGCTTCCTGTGTTCTGTTTTGGAAAAGGAAGAGAAAACCAGAGGACAACCAAAATAAAGATTTATCATTTATTGACAATTGAAGCGTTGCCGCTTTCCCATTTGTAGTAAATGCATTGCTATAATAAGCAGTCAAAATAATGGGTAATTATAATTTTCGAGACTAAAAAACTCGGAGATTTTAAGGTATTTGAAAAAACAACATAAAACAAAGAAACCCCATCTGTAAAAACAGGGGTTTTCCTCTTGTTCTTCTTCTGAACTGATTCAGATCAGATAAGACTCTGTTTCTAAGCTCGTGAGTCCCAACAACGTTTGGATTCCGGAACGTTTTTAGATACAAGATTGTTACATTATTATCATCAAAAACTGTTTGGTTCTGTCTTTCAAACCCGATTACGAAGTGGGGGGTGGGCTGAAGTTTTTTTTCATTTGGGCATTAGAAAACGACATGGGATTTCAAAGAAACAGAGAGCCATATTGCCATGTGCAAAGCCATGCTATCATCTTGTGATGCGACACGCAACAAAAACAGAGCCATAGCGTCCGATTGGGAGCTGCTGTCGTCTGTGTCTGTCGACTTCCTCGATGGTCGGGGGCCACATGTCGTATCTTCCCATGTTTTTTTAAAAAGGGAATCTTCTTTGGTGTTGGAATCGATGGAAGGTTACAAAATGGATGTGCATGGCGGTCTGGTTTTTTCTTTTCAAGTCTTTGAGACAGACAGCCATATACATCTCTAAAAGCTTCCTGCTCTGCACCACAAACAGTTTTGTTCTGTTTTGGCCCTTTGTTTGGTTTTTATGATTAAGACTAAAGATATTTTTCACTTTTCATTGTAGGCTAAGCATAACTGATCTTTCTTATCCTGTCCCTTCGTTGAAAATTACACAGCAAAAGGAAAGGAAGAAGAAAAAAAAACATGGAAAGTGTTGAATGACCTGAGATATTGGAAGAGGAACTATGGTCGGGTGATGATTCTCTTGTACCTCGGTAGATGGTCAGAGTGTAATCGGGTTGTTTTGGATGAGTTCTTACATTTACCGAAACTGATCATCAGAATGAAACTGACAATATCAATCAAGACTAAATGAATATGATCTACTTTACTGACAAGTATAGTTCAAGTCAACCATTGATCCTATATGCTAAAACGAGTTATCATTCTTCTACAACGTTATTGCTAGTTTCTGACAGACTCAAGCCTACCGCTAGCAGATACTATCCTCTTTGGGTTTTCCCTTCTGGAGTTCCCCTCAAGGTTTTAAACCATGTCTATTGTGAGATCCCACATCGATTGGAGAAGAGAAGAAGCATTCCTCATAAGGGGGTGGAAACCTCTCTCTAGTAGACAAGTTTTAAAACCGTGAAACTGACGACGATACGTAATGAGCCAAAGCGGACAATATCTACTAGGGTGGGCTTGAGTAGTTACAAATGGTATCAAAGCTAGACACCGAGAGATGTGCCAACGAGAACGCTGAGCCTCCAAGGTTGATGGATTGTTAGATCCCACATCAGTTGGAGAGAGGAATAAAACATTTCTTATAAGGGTGTGGAAACCTCTCCCTAATAGACGCGTTTTAAACTGTGAGGCTGACAACGATACGTAACGGGTCAAAGCGGACAATATTTTCTAACAGTGGTCATGGGATCTTACACCAAAATTAGCAAAGCTATACAATTTTGTTGATGGATTCATCACTATTTTCTTAAGTGATTTTACCAATAAGAACATGATTCATCAGTTTCCCAGTTTTAAAACGCACGTACAAAGAACAAAGAAGAAGTAGAACTCGAGTGAGAATTGCAGTTGGCATATTGACTCCAAAAGTTCTCTTCAATTATGTAAAAAAAACAAGAAAACTAGAAACCAAGCCAGAGTATCAAGCAAGTGATATATGTATATATGCTCTGTTATTAGAACTTCAGAAACAGAGCCATTAATAGCCAGACATTTGATCTATGGCGTTCTTGTATCTATTGATTCTGATGAACAAGAACATTTATTTCATCAAGAACATTCTAGTGTACCTGCGCAAGAGTGCCTGCTGCAATCTTTTGAACAAACTCCTTTACGTTGAAATCTTCAGAACCCACCTTCGTGATGACACCCTGCAACAATAAAACATGTCAACCAAAGTTGGATGATTTCAAGTTTTCTAAACAGGAAACTGCTTGAAAAAATGACCTTTTCTGTAATGATTCCCGAGATCAGATGAGCAGGAGTAACATCAAAAGCGGGGTTCCAGACATCGATGCCAGAAGCAGCAACTTGCTCGCCGAGCCCTCCACGGGCATTCAACAACTCTTTGGGGGACCTTTCCTCGATAACGATTTCTTCGCCAGATGAAAGGGATAAGTCTATGGAAGTCAATGGTGCAGCCACAAAGAATGGAATGTTGTGGTGCATTGCACACAATGCAAGGCTATAGGTTCCAATCTTATTAGCAGTGTCACCTGCAATTCATTGAATAGAACTTTCAGACACTCTTCCTCGACAAACAGATGCTGTGACACGTACATAAATGAAGGAACGCCTAAATACCGTTTGCGGCTACGCGATCGGCCCCAACTACAACAGCATTCACCCTTCCAGATTTCATCAAGGCTGCTGCAGCCGAATCTGCTATCAGGGTAGAAGGTATCTTTTCATGGACCAACTCATAGGCCGTCAGTCGAGATCCCTACAATAATAGGCAAAAGTTAAGGCATAAATAGTATGCGTAGAGAGGCATATCCACAATAGTCCACAAATCCGAATAGAGATGGTCGAGTATAACAGCCCTAGTCCACCGTTAGCTGTCCGCTTTGGCTCGTTACGTATCACCGTCAGCCTCACAGTTTTAAAACGTGTCTACTAAGGAGAGGTTTCCACAACCTTTTAAGGAATGCTTCATTCCCCTCTCCAACCAATGTGGGATCTCACACTCCATCCCCCTTGGAGGCCCAACGTTCTCGCTGGCACACCGCCCGATGTCTAGTTCTGATACCATATGTAACCACCCAAGCCCATCTAGCTAATATTTTTCACTTTGGCCGGATACGTATCGCCGTCAGCCTCACGGTTTTAAAACTTATCTGCTAGGGAGAGGTTTCCATACCCTTACAAGGAATGTTTCGTTCCCCTCTCCAACCGATGTGAGATCTCACATCGAAAGACGGTCGAAGTTACCCAAATCAGGAAAATTACCATAATAAGTTTGAAAAGAAAACATCTAGTTAATACAAATACCACCAAACTAGACACTCACTTGATTGAAGGGTCGTGTTTCGGTACAGTATGTCCTTTCTAACACATCAGCGGAGTGAAGAGCACGGATTACACCCAGGGCAGTACCATATCCAGCCGTTGCTAGACTGAAACGTGAAAACTATCAGCAATAGCTAGTCCGGAGGAATTTCATAGCAAGGGTGCATTAAGCGTTAAAAGGAGAACGATAAAAAGTGTGTGAAGGAGCTAGAATTTATGCCTGCCCGTGTTGCAATGCGTTAGAACGGAAAGTTTTGCCAATGATTTTTGTTGATCACGGATATACGTTGCTCCATACGACCCAATGGCTTTATTTGAAGCAACGTCGTCCTCCAGCATCGCTTCAGCAGCCTCAATATATGCCTATTCAACCAGTTTTCAATATATTCAAAAGAGCTTACAAATAAGATATCCTTCAAGTTTCAGCATAACCAAGCATAGAACTAACAATTAACAACTCAAACTGAACAGCCAAATGAATCCCCAAATTCATACTTGAAAGACACTCTTGGCATCAGGAGAAATAGCGACGGCCCGAGATACAATTTCTTTAAGTTTTATAGCAGCGTCCCCAAGATTAACCGCAGTTGGCCGACTACAAATTCAGAAAAAACACGTAAGCTACTGTTCAAAAGCCAATAGGAATCGAGAAAAAAATACTGATAATGAATCGAGAAAACCTGGAGACTAAGTAGTCCAATTTCTCCGCAATGAACGAAGCTGCGTCGTTGGGACTCCCATTAAAAGCGTCCAAGTTGTACACTTCTGCTGCCAAAGCAAGGGCTGCTGCAATAGCTATGGCAGGCGCCCCGCGTACTACCATATCCCTTATGGCATGCCTGACATACAGATTTTTTAGAATATCACCAAATATGCTGATAACAACCAATGCTGAAAGATGCTTGGAATTCAACAAGTTAGATTTTTATGCTGTGACGAGTAATATCATGATAGACGTTGAAGACATTGGTTTTATAGACAGAAAGGATGTAATTTCTGGAAGAGTACTGACAGATATTGTCTTCTTTGGACTTTTCCTTTCAGACTTTCTCTCAAGGTTTGTAAAATACGTTTGCTAGGGAGAGGTTTCCACACCCTTATAAAGAATGCTTTGTTCTCCTCTCTAACCGATGTGGGATCTCAAAATTCACCCCCCTTTAGGGCCCAGCGTCCTGGTTGGCACTCGTTTCCCTCTCCGATCAATGTGGGATCTCACAACTCACCCCCCTTCGACGCCCAGTGTCCTCGATGACACTCACTCCTCTCTCCAATCGATGTGGGATCTCACAATCCACCCCCTTCGAGGCCCAGCATCCTCGCTGGCACACCGCCCGATGTCTGGCTCTAATACCATTTATAACAACCCAAGCTCTCACCGCTAGCAGATATTATCCTCTTTGGGTTTTCCCTTTTGGGCTTCCCCTCAAAGTTTTTAAAGCGCATGTGCTAGGGAGAGGTTTTCACACCCTTCTAAAGAATGCTTCGTTCCCCTCTCCAACCGATGTGGAATCTCACAATCCACCCCCTTTCAGAACCCAGTGTCCTCAATAGCACTCGTTTCCCTCTCCAATCAATGTGGGATCTCACAACTCACCCCCCTTCGGCGCCCAGTGTCCTCGATGACACTCACTCCTCTCTCCAATCGATGTGGGATCTCACAATCCACCCCCTTCGAGGCCCAGCATCCTCGCTGGCACACCGCCCGATGTCTGGCTCTAATACCATTTATAAACCCCCTTCGAGGCCCAGCATCCTCGCTGGCACACCGCCCGATGTCTGGCTCTAATACCATTTATAACAACCCAAGCTCTCACCGCTAGCAGATATTATCCTCTTTGGGTTTTCCCTTTTGGGCTTCCCCTCAAAGTTTTTAAAGCGCATGTGCTAGGGAGAGGTTTTCACACCCTTCTAAAGAATGCTTCGTTCCCCTCTCCAACCGATGTGGAATCTCACAATCCACCCCCTTTCAGAACCCAGTGTCCTCAATAGCACTCGTTTCCCTCTCCAATCAATGTGGGATCTCACAACTCACCCCCCTTCGGCGCCCAGTGTCCTCGATGACACTCACTCCTCTCTCCAATCGATGTGGGATCTCACAATCCACCCCCTTCGAGGCCCAGCATCCTCGCTGGCACACCGCCCGATGTCTGGCTCTAATACCATTTATAACAACCCAAGCTCTCACCGCTAGCAGATATTATCCTCTTTGGGTTTTCCCTTTTGGGCTTCCCCTCAAAGTTTTTAAAGCGCATGTGCTAGGGAGAGGTTTTCACACCCTTCTAAAGAATGCTTCGTTCCCCTCTCCAACCGATGTGGAATCTCACAATTCACCCCCTTTCAGAACTCAGTGTCCTCAATAGCACTCGTTTCCCTCTCCAGTCAATGTAGAATCTCACAATCCACCCATCTCACAACTAAAGTCATCAACAAAATTTACTAGATACGCTTGTTTCAACAATCAGATGTCTCACATCAAAGAAACATACAAGGAGTTCAACCTTTTCTTAACAATGGGGCGCGCTCAAACGAGCTTACGTGCATGTATGCCTATAGGAATCTACAAGACCATCATTCAATCCTACAGTTATATAGTTCTTATAAATCCATATACTAGGAGTTCAACCCATGATCCCAAAAACACACAGCTAATGGAAGTTCAGGTTTAGCAGTTCATATTCATGGCATTGAACAAATCTTAAAAGTTCAAAAAGAACATGATCTTAAAACAAAAACGGTTCAAAAGAGCATAAGGGATAGGAAAAAACACTATGAACAAGAGCAGATTAGACAAAGATTGCAAGAAATTACCATCCATCTTTTGAATCCTTGATGTCCAGGTAACGAGTTTCCAAAGGAAGCTTCCTCTGTTCAAAACCAACCACTGTCAATTAAAGAGTCCTAATTCCATGCTTGAAGGAAAGTGCTGAACAAAAAGCCAATGAACACTACCTGATCGAGCAGCCGCAAGGATCCACGTTTGTAACAGATGGATTGGAGAGAATTTTCCGCTCCGATTTCACCGCCATTGTTCGGATCGCAAGCCATTATGGTTACCGGTGAAATCTGCAAAATCGAAGAAGAAAAACCCAAATAACAAAACTATTCAAAAGGGGAATTCAATGTTTCGTTTAATGGACTGCTTCAGAATTGAAAAGGCATGGAAAATGAAGGGGAAGGAACCGACCCGAATATGATACGACAGAAAAGAGGCGGCGAATGAATGGTTTCAATACTTCCAAGTGACACTGGAGACCCATTTTCTTATTCGATTAGGGAAAAGATTGGGAAAGAATCACGGGGTCCAATTTGTCTAGAAGGGATGAATCGAAAATATGACTGTAATCGAGTTGAATGGCCGACCCCTTGAACAAGAAAAGGCAAAATTGGATTAAATCTTTGATCATTGGAATTTTTGGGCAGTCTATGTATATGTTAGAAAATAATGAATAATAGTTTTATTTGTTCTTTCTTACAAAAAAAAAAAATATTATTTTTTTTCAGTGTCGTTCATATAATATTTTCGCAACACAACCACAATATTGAGCTGAGTTGTTATAACATATAAAAGCTCAAGCACACCGTTGGCAAATATTGTCCATTTTGGTCCGCTACGAATCAATGTCAGCCTCACAGTTTAAAAATGTGTTTGCTAGAGAGATGTTTCATATCGATTGGAGAAGAAAACAAAGCGTGTGGAAATCTATCCCCGCCAAATGCGTTTTAAAACCTCAAGGAAACGTCCTCATGAAATAACCTAAAAAGGACAATATCTTCTAGTGGTGGGTTATTAAATGTTTCATCGTTAATTAAGCTGCAATTTTCATGCACCGGTGCACGAGGTCTAACCATACGTATTTAAAAAATAAATAAATAAATAAACAATAAGTTTGACAGAAAAAAAAAACATTTTCGACATTCCAATTGTGCCTATTTATATTTAAAAAAAAATTAATCATCTAATTCTTAAATACATATCTATTTAATTTTTAAATTTTTTTAGAAACGTGTAAACTTTTAATTTTATTACAATATGTCTTCGAATAATTTAAGGTTATAATATATATATATATATTTATTTATTTATTGTGTCCCACAAAAAAAAGGCAACAAATAATTATTCTCTCACATCCTCTTTATGTGTTTTTTCTTTTCAAGATGAAAACCAATTATTCTCTTAAAATCCATATCAATCAACTTACAATGAAATTAATAAAAAGTTGTAGGAATTTAAACATTAAAGTTGAAAGATTTTTTTATGCAATTTGAGCCCTTTAAACCGTCGGTAGCTAAAGAAAAGTCAACAAGCTAAGGTTAGTTGACTTTTTTAGGAACAAGCTTCACACGTGCTGATATGGGGTGAGATAAATCACGAGCTTATGTTAGGAGAGACTTGGATTGACACTATGGCGAGCCACATGGCTGGTAGACTCCATGTTGAGCATGGGTCGCACGTTTAAAGGGTTGAATAGGCATAGAGTTCATGGGCGAGTGGGGCATTGAGTCGTTTGCTTGGATGAGCTAATAACACGTGAGGTTAGAGCATTGACGTTTGGACCGCCCATAGATGTGCTTCGGCTAAAGCTCGACATTAGGTGATTAGCGTCTATGAATGAGTTGGAGGATTGTAAATGGTATAAATAGATCAACCTAAGAAACTTCACAAATTTAATTAGTATAATTATAAATTTGAATACGCGTAAAATAATTTTTTTTTTTTTTTAATAGAATCTAAGAGATGATATAAATTAATATGGTATGCTATCTTTAATATTTATTATGAGGACAGAACAAAAGGCCACATTGAGTCGATCGTCGAGTATAAATACAAGTTTGATAAAGAAAGAGAGAAGTTTCCAGCGTTGCCTCCACCTCATGACAGTGATACAATTTTGTGTTACTGTCATGAAATCTTCGTGAGATGGAAAAACTCGATTCCTTCACCGTTAATCCCAATTCACAGAGCTAGAAATTTCAATCAACCACAGAGGAAAACGAGTCGAATCGATTCCCTTTTTCAATTCCTTCTTGTTTCTGTCTTGTAATGGCGGAAGATTTCGCCAAAGCTGTCGACGATGGCCTCCGTCTATCCAAAAGACTGTACTTCGGTAAAGACCGTGCCGTTGCGCCTCCGCGGTCGCTCCCCACGATGGATAGGATGGGCCATTCATTGCTTCCTACGGCTCCCATGGTTTATGCTGTAATTGATAATCCTGCCATCGTCGATAATCCCGATGTTCCGAGTTATCAGCCCCACGTCCATGGCCGCTGCGACCCACCGGCGCTGATTCCGCTTCAGATGAACGGGATTGAGCTCGAGGTTGATTGCTATTTGGATACAGCGATTATTCGGATCACTGGATCTTGGAGGGTTCACTGCGTTATGGGTAGTCGGAGCTGTGATTGCCGGATTGCGATTCCGATGGGGGAACAGGTATTTCTCTGGGTTTTTGTCTCTGGAATTGATTATGAATTTGTTGAGGATTGTTGGGAGGGAGTCCCACTTGACTAATTTAGGGAATAATCATGGGTTTATATATAAGGAATACATTTATGTTGGTACGAGGCCTTTTGGGGAAACCCATAGCAAAGCCGTGAGAGCTTATGCTCAAAGTGGACAATATCATACCATTACGGAGAGTTTTGATTCCTAATATGCTATCAGAGCCATGCCCTAAACGTAGCCATGTCAATAGAATCCTCAAATGTCGAACAAAAGAATTGTGAGCCTCGATGTGTAGTCAAAAGTGCCTAAAGTGTCGAACAAATGGTGTACTTTGTTCGAGGGGTCCAGAGAAGGAGTCAAGCCTCGATTAAGGGGAGGCTGTTCGAGGTCTCTATAGACCTCAAGGGAGGCTCTATGTTGTACTTTGTTCGAGAGGAGGAAGCCCAAAGTAAAGCCACGAGAGCTTATGCTCAAAGTGGACAATATCATACCATTGTGGAGAGTTGTGATTCCTAAGAGGGGCTTGCTCGATTGGTTCGATTGTTCTTGTTTTTTCGTAGAAGATAAGGTTGTTTCATAGCTTGTCTGGTACTGAATTCTCAGGGAATTATATCATTTGGCTAACAGGGTTCAGTTCTAGGTTGTGAGGTGGATGCTCCTAGAAAATCATATCGCACTTCACTTATTACACTTGAAGACATACCTAAAAATGTCGCAGAAAAGCCAGAACGAGTAGAGGGAGGTATCTTGATTTCTAATATCTATACCCTTACAATACCACAGGTGATTAATGGAGCCTCTGAGTACTCATCTTGTCTGTAAGTTCTTCTGATTCTTATTGTTTGAACACATGGAGGTCTGTTTTCTTGTTCTTTTTCAAGATTGATGGGGGCACCACTTTGTCTATTACCATGAGGTGGTCTCAGAAACTATCATACAGAGAAGGTAATCTCACATTGGATGTTCCATTTACTTTTCCTGAGTATGTCATCCCTGCGGGAAAGAAGATGTCGAAGAAGGAGAAGATAGCGTTAAATGTGAATGTCCGTTCGGCAGCTGAGGTTTTGTGTAGGACGACGAGTCATCCTTTAAAGGTCTGTGTTTTCATGTTGAGTATTTGATGTTTTTGGTTGTTGTTCTAGTTTGTGATGTTGTTTTGATAATGGGTGGAATCAGGAATCGATGAGAAAACCCGGGAAACTGAGCTTTATATACGAATCGGAGGTTCTTGCATGGTCGAAAGAAGATTTTAGCTTCATGTATAGTGTATGTTTCAGAGAGATTTGATCATACTTGAGAAGAATCTGCATTCAAATGTTTTGAAACTTGTTCGTCTTTTGTGTTTTAGGTTTGTTCGAGTGAGATATCTGGTGGGATTCTCCTACAATCTCCTCCGATGGATGATGTTGATCAAAGAGATATGTTCTGTATGTACTTATATCCAGGAAAGGAACATGGGAAGGTACAATGGGTTTCTTCTTAGTCTATTATCATTCCCGAGAACGTATCGAATAGCTTCTCATCTTAACGAGTTCAACAGGTGTTCAAGAAGAAGATAGTATTTGTTGTTGATATAAGTGGGAGTATGCAAGGCAAGGCACTTAATGATGTGAAAAATGTGCTATCCACAGCCTTAAGTAAGCTTCATCCAGAAGATATGTTTAACATTATTGCTTTCAATGACGAAGTTCGTCGATACTCAGCGTCGATGGAGATGGCCACCGAGGATGCTGTGGAAAGGGCGTCTCAGTGGATAAATATGAACTTTATAGCAGGGGGCGGCACTGATATCCTACTTCCATTGACAATGGTCTCCAATCTTACTTCTTTTTCATCTCGATATTCTTCTTAATTAACATGACGCTCGTTTTCTTATGATCCAGGCCACCGAGATGCTTAATGATGGGGGTAGTGATGGTTCAGTTCCTATCATCTTTCTTGTCACTGATGGGGCTGTTGAAAATGAGAGACATATTTGTGATGTGATGAGAAAAAATCTAACTGGAAAGCAATCCGTTTATCCACGTATATATACTTTCGGTATAGGTATGTTTCTAGAACTGGAAGGATTGGCTAGGTGCCCGAAAATTTCTTCGAGCTTTGAACGTTCTATGCTTCAATGTATTTCTTCTTTCCTTCGAGCTTCAATGTGTTTCTAGAACTCGTGGGTATCTACGTTTTTTCCGAATATTTCAAACATGTTTGTGTATCTATCTACCAGGTATATTCTGCAACTACTATTTTCTAAGGATGCTTGCAATGATTGGTAGGGGACATTGTGATGCTGCCTATGATTTAGGTGAGTTCTATGCTTCAATGTATTTCTTCTTTCCTTTATGTGGGTACCTTCTAATAAATGTTCGATCTATGTTCGAAATCTATATGCGTTCTAATAACTGTTTGATACAAATTCAAAACACGGTTTTGAATTATCTCTTATATTGACCGTGTAGAATCGTTGCTCGCATTGTTCCGACCTCTAATCTCAGTTTGCTTTCCCACTTTGTTCAACTCAGACTCGATACTTCTATAACTATTTTGTTTTTCAGATTCGGTTGAACCCCGAATGCGCAGGTTGTACAAAAGAGCTATTTCTACCATTTTTGTAAATATAGCTGTTGACGCATTCGACGATCTAGACGAAGTCAAGGTATTCACGTTCATCGTCTCATACATTAGGCCATGAATTTTCCTGCAGCAGGAAGTCAACACTTGTTCGTTTTCTAATTCGAAGCTTTTGTTTTAGGTTTATCCTTCCTTTATTCCAGACCTTTCTTCGGAAAGTCTACTGACTGTATCTGGCAGATACTGTGGAAATTTTCCTGAGACTGTTAAGGCAAAAGGCCTATTAGCCAATTTGGATAATATTGTCTTAGACTTGAAGGTACATCAGGCAAAGGATATACCTCTTGACAAGGTAGTGATCTTCATATATGGTCAAACCTATCTGGATTTCTCATTATCTTGGGTTGTAGAAATTGTCGGGTCGTTATGTTACATTCTTGATGTTCGTATTTCTAGAAACGTAAGATTTGGATACTAAATGTAACAGAAAAAATTGTATTAATTTTTAAAAACTAAATAACTCATTCTTACAATTTCTTCTTTTTCAGCTATTTATCAAGGATCAGATTGAACTACTCACAGCTGAAGCCTGGCTTTCAGAAAATAAACAACTGGTGGAAATGGTTTGTGATTTTTACCTTGTTCCCGTATCGACCGACTTCTGCTTGTTTCCATTTTCTTAGCCCTGCAAGTGATTTTGAGTTAGAAATTCGAAATGATAGAAATGATGATATCCGTTCCTTCATTCGTACCTTCTATAGGTAAAAAAGATGAGCACAAAATCGGGTGTAATGAGCGAATATACTCAAATGTTCATATTTCAGAGTACAAACAAAGTCGGTGAAACAATCAAAGTGCAACAGGTGAGTGTAGCTTTCCACCTCCATGACCTCAAATTTAAGCTGGCTGCAGGTACTTGGTTGTTAGTTACTCAGTTACCTATTATAATAACTTACTTGCACAGATGAAGAAGAATGCTTATGAGAAAATGGAAGCACCCAGAAGTGACAAAATGATGCTGTTACCATTTGGTGGGGTTGGCTTTGGAAACTTGGAAGCAACTTCTGAAAACACTCCTCATGGAGTTGGAGAACGAAAGCCTGAGGCTGCGGAAATAATTGTCAAAGCAGCTTCTAATTGTTGTGGCAATTTGTGTAGTTTCTGCTGTTGCCCCTGCTGCATCCAAGTCTGCCTCAAAATTAACAATCAATGCGCGATCGTGTTGACACAACTCTGCACTGCTCTCGCCTGCTTCGGATGTTTCGACTGTTGTTTAGAGATGTGCTGTGACAATCGGAGTGTCTCATAGGTACACCTGATACAAAATATATACAAAGTATAGCTGCATAAACAACGTTTCAACGAATTATGTGTTGTGTGTTGTGTATTGTGTATTAAGAACCCAAAGTTCAAGAATAGGATTAGAACAGTCATTATACAATCTGATCAGAAGTACTCATAATTGTGTGATATTGTCGCTTCTGAGGTTTAAGCTCTTTTCATTTCTGATTAGCTAATAATGCCCATGACGACGTTATGGCCCCATGTTGAAGTTATTGCTGCCTGCAAATGGCACAAGCTGAGTAAGGTACACAAGCATTCTAGAATTCTATACATACAAGAGTCGGTTTTTTATTTAATAAGTATCCGTTTATAGTTTCGTATCTATGATGGTATTGCCAAATTATTCATAAATAGCCAAAAGAACGAGACATTCAAATATGTTACCGTTTATGCGTTGTATATATTTGTAATAGTTCAAGCCCACCGCTAGCAGATATTGTCATCGTCAAAATTTTTAAAATGCATCGAATAAGAAGAGACTTCCACACTCTTATAAAGAATGTTTCGTTCCTCTTTCCAACTGAGGGATTTCACAATCCACCCCTTTTGGGACCCAGTGTCCTCGTTGGCACTTGTTCCCTCCTCCAATTGATGTGGGACCCCCCAATCCACCCCTTTCGAGGTCCAGCGTCCTTGTTGACATACTGCCTCGTGTCGACCTCCCTTTGGGCGGTGTTTGGCTTTGATACCATTTGTAACGGCCTAACCTACTAGCAGATATTATCATCTTTAGACTTTCTCTCTCGGGCTTCCCCTCGCATCTGCCAAGGAGAGGTTTCCCCACCCTTATAAAGAATGTTTCGTTCTCTTCCCCAATCGACGTGGGATGTCACAATACTTCTTCAAGATTTACGTATAATAAAAAATCAAACGAAATGTAAACGTAAATGGACATGAATAGTCATCTCCTCACCCTTATAAAGAATGTTTCGTTCTCTTCCCCAACCGACGTGAGATCTCACAATACTTCTTCAAGATTTACGTATAATAAAAAACCAAACGAAATGTAATCGTAAATGGACATGAATAGTCTTGAAATCTCTTTTAAAAACATTCCTCTTTGAAAGGAGGAGTAACATCAAAGTGTAGGGTCCTCATTCAACAAGCATTATTTTTGTACAACTCTCACCTGCTCCTTCTGTAAAGCCTTATTCGATGGTCCCATATGAGCTTGCTTAAAGGGCCACCGTCCATATGATGCATGCCATGGACAGCTTCACGTGCCCAAATGGTGTCCTGCACACTTCTTTGCATGGTGACTAATCAATATATCAGAGAAATGGAGAGAAACAATTTATTAGAGAGATAAAGAGAAAAAAAGGCTGCTGATTTTGGAAGATTCTGATAAAATTGCGCAACAGGGAAGGAAATAGAAGGGGATGGTTCAAGCTGGAGTGTCTTAAAAAACAATATATTTGGTGTTAGAATCGATGCTAGTGAGATTTAGAAGGCGCCACTATTGGTTGGGTGAGTAAGAGACATTCCCACGAGAATGTGGGCTATATAATATAATATATATAACGTAATTGAAATGCCCTCAAAGCTACCTCTTTCCATTGGCCACTGGATATGTTATTTTATATTTTCGGTAGAAGAGATGTTCTTTCCTCATATCTTCCTCGTGCATGATAGCTCAGTCTCTCATGTCCTTTTCTTCATTGTCCATCTTCCTCATGCACTCGCATCAGCAGCAGCCTCCCGGATTTTCTGCATCAATTTGATAATCATAAGATACACATCGAGTAATAATGGATACAAATTTGATGGAAAAGACGAGAGATTGAATACTTATACGAGGGAAAAAGACATTGTAATAAGGAGGCCAATATGTGACAAACCCAAGAGAGAGAGAAAGAGAGTCAGCGTTTTGGAACTTGAAACAGTGGCAGCTAGTAGTTTGGTTGCGGAATTTCTCACATTTCTCTTCACTATATAAAGTGTTTTGCACTCATATTGCCTTGGTGTATGCAATCCTTGTGCCTGTTGTGGGATCCATAGCCCAAACTTAAAGGGATTGTTTTCTCTCGTGTGTATATCTCCATCGACTTGGCTCTATGTAGCCTTATTAACAAGAATTTGAACTCAAACTCGAACTAGAGCTCACAAAGAGGAAGAAGAAGAGGGTGCATCGGATAGCGAACTTGAGTTTCGACAGATGGGGGTAAGTTAATGCAAGAAAGTATTGTCTAGTTTTTGTCCTACAAGCTTGGTGCTCTACTCTTCCTGATTAACTATGACTTGTTTTTGCACAGATATTGAATTGGATGAAAGGGAAGAAGCCTAATGGCAAAAAGGGCAAAATAACAACTTCAAATTCAATCAAAGGTGAGCAAGAACTGTCATCTTCTCCTTTAGTTTTCCTTTCAATCTAGGGTGCAATAACTTAAAATTCTATCTCAAACAGATGAAACGGTTCATAAAACTCACTCAGAAGAATTCACCAGCTGGCCTCGTGTGTTGCTGGCGATCGGAACCTTTGGAGATGATAATCTGAACCAAGCACACACAAAAAGGTTTCAAGAGAATCCATCATCTCCCCTGCAACAACATCTTCAAGATCTTACACCAGAAGAATTAAGAAAACTTCACAAAGAGTTCAATCTGTTATTGGATGAACACCTTAAGCAAATGGACCCATCCTTGGCATTTGAAGTCAGCACGCATTGTTCATCAAACATATTTCCTACCAGACAATTAAGCTTCGAATCAGACATAACAAAAAATGAACCATATTCGGACGAGTTAATTGACGAGAGCGAGAGTTTCAAGCATGTCATACTCAGTAGAGGCAAAAATATGGGTATGGAAGCTAATGAGACTACACTTATTGGCAAAAGAACTTTATCTCTCCTTCTCAAGAAAATTTTCGTCTGTGGAGGCGGTATTGCACCAGCTGCAGTTGCTCCTCCTCTGAGAACCCGAACTTTGGAGTTGAAAATAGAGAAGGTAAATCAAGAACATAGATCAATCAATGCTCAAATTCTCTGATAGCTGTTCTGGTTGGATCAGCGTTGATAACTTTTTGTATTCGAATATTGATAACTGTTTCTGCAAGTAACAGATGTTGAGGACAATACTCCATAAGAAGATATACCCCCAAAGCTCCAATGTCCAAACATCATCCATGAAGAAGTACCTGAGGAAGAAAAACAAGCGAAAAGATAAAAGTGAAGACGAAAAAGATGACAAGACTGGCGATGGAATTAAATGGGTCCAGACTGATTCCGAATGTCGGTATTAACAGTATAATCAGTATCCTATGGATCAACTTTCTAGTTCCATCAACCATGCATGTTTTTTCCATCATAAACACAATATGCTAATATGCTTTTGCCATAATACTAATACACACAGAATTCTATAACTGTATTTGAGAGGCTAACCTGATTGTGTGTTTCCATTTTCGTGTGCAGATATCGTTTTAGAAATCTGAGAAGCTACCTGCCATGTGAAGAAAAGATCACAAGACATCATTTTCTTGCTTGCTTGATTGCTTGTTTGAACATTTACCTGTTGTATTTACCTAACAGTTTGGAAGAATTGAAACTGAGCTTGAATTTATCTTTTTGGAAACTACTACAGTAATATCCTTTGGAAATGCAATTGAATACCTGAAGATGTTCATGACAGTTGCAGTGTCTGTTGTATAAAATCACACAGTAAACCAAAAGGACTCCACCCAGATGAATAATTCTTTTCTAACCTTCCTTTCGAAAAGGATCAGAATTTGTTCCTAAAAGTAAAAATTGTTCCTAAAAGTAAAAAATGTTGAAATCCCAATTTTCTTACTACTAAACTTAGTCATATGTAAGATAGCCTCTGCTTTCCCCAAGATTAACAGCCTAAGCCTACTGCTAGTAAATATTGTCCGCTTTGGCCCGTTACGTATCGCTGTCAACCTCACGATTTTAAAACGCGTCTACTGGGGAGAGGTTTCCACACCCTTATAGGCAATGTTTCGTTCCCCTCTCCAACCAATGTAGGATCTCACAATCCACCTCCCTTGAGAGCCTAGCGTCCTCACTGGCACACTATCGAGTCCTGGCTCAGATACCATTTGTAACAAACCCAAGCCATCACTAGCAGATATTGTCCTCTTTGGGTTTTCCCTTCCGGGCTTCCCCTCAAGGTTTTTAACACCGGGATCTCACATCTTGGCACTGTCATTCGAGAATATTCTAAATGGCAGAAACTAAATTAGGAGCATGTATAAGTTGAAACATCGAATCGTGACAAGAGAAGCCTGCAAGAACTTAAGAAATGACTAATGTTCTTTACTTTTTAACTCACAAAAAAAAGAGAGGTAAGGTCTCTCTCTCTCTCTCTATCTCTTATCTTTTTGCAATGGCCAACATTCTTCACACCTGAACCCACAAAAAGAGAGGTAAGATCTCTCTCTCTATGTTTTTGCAGTTACCAATATTCTTTACTCTTGAACCCACAAAAAGAGAAAGGTCAGGTCTTTTTCTAAGTTTTTCCTTTTGCAATGGGTTCGTTTCTGTTTCTGTACAGCGGGGACCATCTACAGAACCTGAAATACATTGGGATGACAAGATTCGTCCCAAAAAAGAGCCTTTTTTTTGTTTTCATTAGCTTAAGTTAGCCAAAAAAGAGATCCACTAGAACACAATCTACTGCATTAAATCCTCAAACTACAGCACAATATTAAAAATAGAAAAAGTTCAAAATCACAGCATACAATCCAGATATCCTCATCATTAGAATCTAAGCAATAGTTTCCAGAAAAAGGCTCTATATTCCTCAGTCGAATCAGGCATCTAGCGTGAGCAAAGAGACGAAAGGCGCACTATCGGGAAAACGAGAAACAAGGTCAGAACGTTTAGCCAATTCGAAGTCCTCAAACTGGAAAGCAGGTGCACAGCTGCAGCCCACAAGTGAGTAGTGATTCTCAGAGTCCCTTGGAGCAGCTTTAGTCACAGTCCCATCTGCAGAAATATTGAAGTCCTTGGTTGGAAAAGAACCAAACCAGACATTAGGAGGCACTGTATACTGAAGTAAATGATTGCTTCCAATGAAATCAGACCCAAGACAAGTAAATTTGACTCGACCGTCCTCTTCATTCAACTCCAGTATCTGAATTCAACGTAATAATTACAATAATAAGGACAGTATCATCATAGAGGTGAGGTAAGAACAGAGAAGGCTACCTATACGGGGATTAAGCAAAGATTGATAGCATTGAATGAGTAGAACAATAAATGAGATGGATAGCAGAAAATCAGCATTCCAACCACAATTCGCTTTCCATTAAGCATACGAATTAGAGCAACTGTCCTAGAACCATGACCGTCTCTTAATTATCACGGATGTGGAGGAAGAAGCAAGATATGTTTATATATGCAGCATCACTTGCTTGAGTGTTTGGCAACAAAAACAAATCACTATTGAGAAAACTAGATTGATTGAAAATCAATTTTGAAGACTCACATTGACGTTGATTCTCAATATAATGCTTGACCGAAATCATTTTCGAATCACTTATATCATTTGCCATTACAGAGCTTCACAAACCCTAAATATACTTCTAAAATGTGATCGAACACAAAAGAAAGCATGTCAAATTCATCGCAGTCGAGTATCTTAATTTCTCAAGAAATGCGGAGAAGAAGAAAGAAAGCCATATCTAAACCATAGAATCTTCTGTTTATGTAAACGGAGAAGCGAACATTATTGGTAGAACAGCGAAATATTCAATCAGAAACATAGAGAAAACAGTACTTCATGATATGCCATAATCATAAACCTACCGTAAGAGGTTCTCCCGAGTAAAAATGCCAAGTTTCTGCACATGGAATCCGATGAAGAGCAGAAATGCATCCAGACGGCACCAAAAAGTATATGCACGTGCTGACCTCTCGATCAACCTTGTCTGCATCAGAATAAAGTCAAAACCGACTAAAAAGGAAAAATCCAATAGACGAAAACTTGGCCAGCGAAGAACAGTGATAAGTATACAAGATCATTCTGGATTCTCAGAATCCGATTTCAGGAAAACAAGACAAGCGATCCTGTTCTAGATGCATAAAAATCCAGGGAAATGGAGTGAAGACTGTGAAATCAGGACTCGGTCTTCGATTCCGTGCAATCAAACGGATCAAAACGAAAATACAACAGAGAAATCAATGGAGGCATGATCGAGAAATACAACTTACACTCCGGTGGGAGATGAGATTTGGAGAGATGAACGGACTTGTCTCTGAAAGTTTCAGAGTAAAAACCGCCTTCTGGATGAGGTTTCAAATTCAATTTCGCCACAATTTCTGATGCAGTACCCATTTTGATTCTTCTCTCAACTCTTTCAACCAAAAGCAACACAGCTGAAGATTACAACACAGAAGATCACAAGATTCACCGCCTATATTTCATCAAATATATTACTAATATATGCTCTGATTCTTGTTCGATTTTTCTATACAAAAGAAACCTTGTTTTTTATTCAACGTTATGCGGCTGAGCACTCCTTCGTTCAATTAAAGAAAATTTAAAATAATAATTATATTATAATATACATCAATATCAATTTAAACATAGTTCAACTAATCATTACATAAATATAAACATGATCATTAACATGTGACACTAGCGATGGTCTCCTTCACACAATCTCGAAGGAAGTATCTTTTGTTGAAGAATTTTTTTGACGGTTAAAGCTGAAGAACGAAACTATTGTAGTCGACAACTTGAACAAGAAAATGATGACGATTGATTAAGAGAGGTGCAGGATGATTTCACGTGGTGAATGTAGAGAATCATTGTAACAGTTCACGTCTATCGCTAGCCGACATTCTCCGCTTTGACTCGTTATGTATCGCCGTTAGCCTCATCATTTTATAATGCGTCTGGCTAGCGATGAGTCTGAGCTATTACAGATGATGTCAAAGCCAGACACCGGGCGGTGTAGAGGAGAAGGAAGCATTTCTTATAAAGGTGTGGAAACCTCTCTCTAGCAAATAACCGATCAAAGCGGACAATATCTGCTCACGATAGGCTTCTACTGTTACAATTATTGTGCAGTTTTCTTTGCGTTTCCTTACTCGAGCTTTCTCACCTTCTTTGCGATGTCTCACATTGGTTGGGGAGGAGAACAAACCACTATTTATAAGGGTGTGGAAACCTTTCCCTAGCAAACGCGTTTTAAAGCCTCGAGGGAAAGCTCGAAAGGGAGAGCCCAAATGACAATATCTGCTAACGGTGGATCTGGGATGTTACATTCTTCATCTCTTTTGTTATCATTAATGGGCAACCCTTCTCAAACGACAACTTTTGGATCAGTAGCTCCCGTCTTCTTGCACAAATGGTCGGTAACAACAACAATTAAATGTATACCATGACGTCTTCTACTCGTTATCACATTCCATAATCATGTTAGTATAACATAGTCGAAATGACATAAATTAAATCCTTAAATATATGTAACATAATCAATGAAGACTTTATAGATATCCAAATATTTTGAAACAGTGACAATTACAAACTTGTGTCGGGTGTCGGATGTAACCAATCTCTGAATCTGAGCTCAAATTCCACCGGAGCTGAATGCCTGCAAGAACAACAATTTACATTAGCCATAGCTAAGACCCAAGATTCATGGCAAGTACTGTCGTTACCGAGAAGATGTTGCAGTGGCCGGGATCGGCAACGTGGGCGGCGAGATTCTCCAGCGGACCCTGCCCTGTATAAATAGCCTGAAACCACAGTCCGACAAACGCCAGCATCGCCAGCCGCCCGTTCTTGATCTCCTTAGTCCGCAGCACCATGACCGGCTCCGGCGATCCCCTGCCCCACATCATCGGGTCGAACCAGAACCCGCCGGGGTAGCCGACGTCCGGTGTTGGCTTTTTCTTGTGAGGTAGTTTGAGGTCCACGTCGACGCTGCCTGGGTTAACCATGTCCGCCCACCGCCGCCCCTCTACCCACCCCATTAGACCCAATTGAGCCACCAGCAATGTCGTCGGGTCTGCAAAGTATTCTCGCGTTCCGGCGTCGTACCAGGAGAAATTTTGAATCAGTCCTAAGCTCTCGAACCATTCGGGGAGGAGAATTCCGGCCACTGCGAGCATTGCCCATCTCGCGTGCATTAGCTCCGCTTGTGCGAACCATTTTAGGAGCTCTGGGTCGGATCCTGACCATCACAGAGTATGAAATTTTCGAACAGCAGCAAAGAAATTTAAAATGAATCAAAGAACGAGAGAAGGGCGTACCCAATCCAAGTGGGTCGAACCCGAAATCGCCGGGAAGGCTGCAAAGCGAGAAAGAGCTTAAACATTCATCAAGATAGAACGAATTAGGAGTGGGGAAGTTAGGATTAACCTGCCGTCGAGCCACTCAGGGGGGGTGCTGCCGGGGAACCAGAGGGGTCGATCTGGAGGGAGCGGTTCACAGACGCTAGATACGCCGGATTTTGCAGCGTTCAGATGAGTAGAACCTCGCCGGAGATTGTATTTTGGGAATTTTCCGGGGAAATTGAGTGCTCTGTGGTGGCTGTGGGATGATTCTCTGCTGAGAAACAGAAATTTGAGAATGAAAAATTGGAGAAATTAGTGAAATAAATGGGATTTTGGGTTTACCTGATTGGGAGAGTTGAGAGCGCAGTGGAAGAAATGGAGAGGGCCATGGCCGGAGAGCTTCAGTGATATAAAACAAGATTGGTGAACAGCTTTGATATGTATATGATGAATGGCCATTGAAGTCTGTATGGATATCCAAAATTTAACCTTCTTTTAGGATAATATATATAAAATTAAAAATTAAAAAAATTGCACAATTTCCTTTCGAATTTACCTTAAAATAAAATTGAAATTTAACCCGACATTTAATTTGGTTAAAACTAATGTTTTAGTTTGTATAATTAACCAATTGCACTCCTAATTTTGATTAATTAAGCCATTAACTCCAGTACAAATGGTATGGAAGTCAGACATTTATTGTTGTAACAATTAGGCTGTTACATGGTATCAGAGACACACGGTGTTGTGACAACTATGACACTAGCTACAAGAGAGTGAATTGTGAGGTCTCACATTCATTCAGAGGAGAGCGAGAACGTCGAGTTGACTGTGAGATTTTGTTGGAAAAAGAAATGAAACACAATGTGGAAAACTTTGTAACCGTTAAACAAACAACATCTATTAGGATTGTGTGGTTTAGTTTCCATTTATAATAAAAACACGTTAAAATATCTATTTGTATTTATCAACGTTCGAGCTTTAACCTGAGAGTGAACTTTCCAAAAACTTTACAAAATTTGTCAAACCTGAAATTCATACAAATTTTCAATAATATCTTTCAACTACAGCTTTGGATAAACGTTCGAGGTTTGACGTTAGAGAGTGGAACTTTAGAGAGTTCGTCTATACCTTTAGACTAGACGAAAATTCGATTTAGATTAAAAAATCTTTTTTATAAGAGTATATACAATTTTTCAATAATTATTTTCAGTCAAATAATAACAAAGATATCACGGATAATATATTACACCATTAATTATAAAAAATGATTTATTACAAGTTTTGAATGAAAAGGAACACCTTTATATAAATTAGTTGGCTTAAAATCAAAATTAATTATAATTTAAATGGTTAAATTATTAAAAATTTAATTTAAAAAATAATAAATGAGTGATTGAACAAAAATCATAAACGTGTCAATTAATATTTTAAATTTTTATTTGATTTTTTCTAATATAAAATAATTAATATTGTAAATATATGAATATTAAATAATTAAATATTAGCATATTTATGTTATTTTAAAAGTATATTATGTTGTATTAATTTTTTCAATATTGAAAATATATCTTTAACATTTTTTTTTTATAAAACTCAAAAACATTTGATTTAAATAAATTCAAAAGAGAATAAAATTAGATTTTAATTTTAAATTAATTTTGGAAATCTGATTTTGTCAATAAATATATTGTATTTTTAATAACAATTTAATTATAAAAAAAAAACCATAATATCTGTAAAAATTTAATTTCAATAAATAATATATTGTATTTTTTTTGAAATCTTATTTTTTTAATTTGAAGATTATAATTTATAAGAAATCCCAACTTCTGGATTAAACTCGAAAATCTTCAACTACACTCAATCTTGCAGTTGAGCTTTACTGATCTTCAAAATATTTCACATATTTTGATCACTAACAACTTCTCCTATTCCTTAATTACTGTTTCCAGCTTCTGAATTCCAAATTCCGTTGCAAGATCACTCGTGTTCGTGATTCTGCAACTCAAACCGACCCAGTTGATTAATTATGCTCATTAGTCACTAATTTCGGTGCATAATCAATTTGGCATCGTGTTGATGAGGTTTGAGACCTCAATTCACGGCGGGCGGTTCAACAACAAGAGGATTGAGTTCAAGCGATGCAATCCGGGCTTCATCTCCACGTACTGGACGATGTTTACAGTGTTCTGGATCATGGCGGTGGCTTCGATGTTGCTCTGGCAGTGCACTATTGATGATGAGTTCCTTTTCCACCGGAGTGTCCCGTTCAGGCCGTTGCCGAGGACGCGGCCTGTTGCGTTTAATTTGACGGATTTTGGAGGAGTGGGCGATGGAGTCACTTTGAATACCGTGGCCTTCGCGAACGCCATTTATGCCATTTCGAAGTGGCGGGCCAGAGGCGGCGGACAGCTTAATGTTCCTCCTGGCCGTTGGCTTACGGCTCCCTTTAATCTCACTAGTCATATGACTTTGTTTCTTGATCAAGATGCTGTTATATTGGGGATTCAGGTCTGTTTCAACTTGAATTTCGTTAAATTTATTGTTTGAATTTGGTTAGAACTGTGCTGCTGGGAATAACTTGATGGAATTGTTGGCTTCTTCTGTTTAAACTTGTTAGGATCGCCGTAATGTATTAGCAATTACTGTTGTTATTGATATTCATTTTGAATGAAGCTGAGTAGTGAAAATTATCAGTAGATATGCATAGTTTAGGCTATGAATTCGTACTAGATTGGTTGTAAGATCTTGAGTGTTCTTAAAATCAAGAACCTAGAAGCAGCTATCAAGAGCTAGACCCTTGGACATTCCACAATTATGAATGATGAAAGTTTTATCATGTTACGAGAGCTATAGGCGATTGTTTGATTATTTGTGCAGTTACTTGTTCGATTATCTGCTGCCCACGAGAACGTAACTACTTGTGCACTTCCATCCCCATCTTCACCTATTTATCCATGGAAAGATGGTAGTAGTAACGTTAAATTGTTCTTCAACAAGACCGCCCTGCTCGAGTATTGTAAAGGTTTTCGCATGTTGTTTTGAATATGTAATCTTATATGGTCGTGTTTGTATTTCAACATTTTGTCTAGTATGCTACCTATAATAGTTCAAGCCCACCATTAGCAGATATTGTCTGCTTTGACTCGTTATGTATCGTTGTCATCCTCATGGTTTTAATATGGGTCTACTAGGGAGAGGTTCCAGTACCCTTATAAGGAATGTTTTGTTCCCATTTCCAACCGACGTGATCTCATAGTACCCATCATCCAGTAGTTTCTAGTTAAACTAATGGATTGTTTCGGTCATCTCGTTTAACCATTATAGTGTTTATTATTTCTTCGTTAGTTTCTACAACGAACTTCTAGAAACGGGATGAATGTTGGCTAATCTTATTCATGTCACAGGATGAAAAATATTGGCCACTGATGCCTCCTTTGCCTTCCTATGGGTATGGAAGGGAGCACGCTGGACCTCGTTACGGGAGTTTGATCCATGGTCAAAATCTGATAGATGTCGTGATAACAGGTCAGGTTGATCGAGATTTCTTTGTTTAGGTACTTTTTTGTTAATCCTTGCTTGGGAATCTCAGCATAAACTTGTTGAAGCTTCAACCATTTGTGACTTCTGATTGTGTATATGTCATGACTTACAGGGAATAATGGTACCATAAATGGACAGGGTCAAACATGGTGGAAGAAATTTCGCCAAAAGCTTCTGAACCACACAAGGGGTCCCCTTGTTCAGATCATGTGGTCAAGGGATATTTTGATCAGCAATATAACTTTGCGCGACTCTCCATTTTGGACTCTTCATCCATACGACTGTAAGAACGTTACTATCCAGAGTGTTACGATCTTGGCTCCGATACATGATGCACCAAATACAGATGGAATAGATCCTGGTAAGCTTTAGTGCTTTGTTTATATCGTTTCCCAATCGGATGCTTGGTTTAATGTAATGATGCGACTGCTGTATAGTGAACGTAGAGTAGGTTAAGTCGTTCCTTGTGCTGATGTCGATAAATTGCATTAGTTTGTGTATTAGATGAATGTTGGATACCTCGAACTAAGAACCAAAGACCATTTTAGTTTTTCCCATAGTATATGTGAGATCCCACGTCGGTTGGAGAGGGGAACGAGTGCTAGTGATGACGTTGGGCATCGGAGGGGGGTAGATTGTGAGATCCCACATCAGTTAGAGAGGGGAACGAAACATTTTTTATATAAGGGTGAGACTGACAACGATATGTAATGGGCCAAAGCGGACAATATCTGCTAGCCGTAGGTTTAGGCTGTTACAGTATAACTTTGTATGCAGAAGATGGGCCTGTAACTCAGTTTTCTAGACTAGGTGGCACCGGCCTAATGACGTGCATTATGATTGAGTTTAAGGGCTAGGATATTGATGCGTTCGGGTCGAGTTTAATTCGATTTGATTTGGAGCTTAACCTAAGTTAGTTGGAAGCAAAGGAAAATCGTTCTATGTCCTTGTTAAACTACGAACGGGTTTGGAATGACTTTTGAAGCATTTAAAAACATTTTTTTAAGCACTTAAAAAGTCATTCTAAATCGGACATTAAATTTTTACATGCTTGAACTTTATAAATGGTCATTTGATAAGGGCTTGCTCCATTCTGTATATTTTCATAAACAGATTCATGTGAAGATATGGTGATTGAGGATTGTTACATAAGTGTTGGAGACGATGGCATTGCAATCAAGAGTGGTTGGGATCAGTATGGCATTGCTTATGGGCAACCCTCGAGAAACATACGAATCCGAAACATCGTTGTTCAATCTATGGTTAGGTAAATATTTCGCATCCATTCGTGATCAAAACACATATCAACTAGATTCACGTCGTATGAAAAGATAGCTAACTCATCATTTTGGTTGAAATTCTTCAGTGCTGGGATATCGATCGGTAGCGAGATGTCGGGTGGCGTATCAGGCATCACCATAGAGAATGTCGTGGTGTGGAACTCCAGGCGAGGTGTTCGGATCAAGACTGCTCCAGGGAGAGGAGGATATGTGAAAGACATTACTTATCGAAATCTGACCCTCGAAGTTGTACGTGTTGGGATTGTCGTAAAGACAGACTACAACGAACACCCTGACGAAGGATATGACCCAAAGGCAGTTCCACAGCTGAAGGACATAAGCTTCACGAGCATCCATGGGCAGGGAGTTCGAGTGCCCGTTCGAATGCACGGTAGCGAAGACATTCCAGTAAGAAATGTGACATTCAGGGATATGTCAGTGGGAATAACATACAAAAAGAAACAAATATTCCAATGTGCATTTGTTCAAGGACAAGTTATAGGAACCATCTTCCCTGCTCCTTGTGTCAACCTCGACCGTTACGACGAGCATGAACGACTAATTAAACGCTCGGCTTCTCAAAATGCAACAGATATCGACTACGACTTTTGAGTAGCAGCTAGCTGATTTGATCAAACCACTAAAAACTGTCTTTTTTTTTTCTTCTTGTTCTTCTTTTAACACCAGTTAAAGACTCTCATATGTCTATTTTATGTCTGAAATTTGCATTTTTTTGTCTGGTAGAGATGTACAGAGGAACCCTTTTTTTATTAGAATAGATAGCTTTGATTTCTGAGTTCTCTCTCTAATGTGTAGGTTCCAGTTCATTTGAATGGCCATGGCTGTTCTTCATTCAACTTGCAGGTAGCAGAGTTTGGTGGTGGTGGGGCTGTGAAAAAGATGGATGTTGGCAAAGTGGGATGGATTGATTGGCAATCTGTACTGAAAGTGAGCTCAAATCATAGGCTTTCTTGATTCAGATCATTACTTATATAAGAAAATATTAATGATTATACAAAGTGGCATATGGAACACGTGGAAATTGATTAAATGGATGTGCCCGTTTAAATATTTGAGATTATAACGATAAAAGCTTGAGTTCATCGCTAGTAGATATTGTCTTTTTTGGACTTTCTCTTAGCTTTCCCCTCGAGGTTTAAACGCATCCACTAAGGAGAGATTTCCATATGCTTATAAGGAATGCTTCATTCCCCTCTCTAACCGACATGGGATCGTTACACTCCAATCTCTTTGGGGTCCAACGTCCTCACTGGCACAACCCCCAAAGTCTCTGGCTCTAATACCATTTGTAACCGTTCAAGCTCATTGTTAGTAAATATTGTCCTAGTAAATATTGTCCTCTTGAGCCTTTCTATTCTTAGCTTCCTCTCAAAGTTTTAAAACTGTGACCACCAGGGAGAGAGATTTTTCACACTCTTACCAGATATGCTTTGTTCCTTTCAACAACCGACGTAAGATCTCATAATCCACTCATCTTAAAGGTCTAGCGTCCTTGCTGGCATACTGCCCGGTGTTTGGCTCTGATACCATTTATAACACTCCAAGTCCACCGCCAGTAAATATTATTTTCTTTGAATTTTTTTTTTTTGTGAGCTTCCCCTTTAAGGTTTTAAAATGCGTTTGTTAGACAGAAAATACCACACCCTTATAAGAAATGCTTCGTGTTACTCTATCCAACCGTTGTGGGATCACACTCTATTCTCTTCTCCAACGTAATAAAGTATTTCTTTATTAATGTTGCATTTTATTTTAAATTTTGTACGTTAAAAGTTATTTCTATGCGCATCATCAAAGACTAGTACCAATTCAAATAAACGAATATTTTTAGGCAAACAAGGAAGGAAAGGTGGAATATCTCGGACTTTTTATCATCCAGTTATTCTAAAAGAATTATCCATTCTTTGAACACTCGAACATCACCTCTACACCTGTTTGAAAAAGAGATCACATACGAGTTTTTAGATAAACATTAAATGTAGTTGCTTTAAATCCTCGTGATTTTTCTATGGAAAAGTTATTATTGCTTTCATTAACCCAATAGATGTACCGTTAAGCCCGATATAGTAAGAAGGATTTGAATAAAAAAGTTATTTACGTAAATATCCTAAATAGTTTTCAATATTTCTATTTAGTCCTTCAATTATTTAAAAATATCAAACTTTAGTCCTCACCATTAATTTATAGGGACGAGTGTGCAAACTATTGAGTTAATAATGGCCATAAAATCTTAGTCTATTAATAAAGCATACTTTTATTTATTTATTATTATTATTATTATTTATTACTGTGTTTTATACTATTCCTAATGGATAATGGCCAAATAATAATAATAATAAATATATTTTTAAAAGCTTAATAAGACAAAAATAAAATAAAAAGGATGGAAATGAATTTTAAATTTAAATTTAAACCACGGGGAATTTCAATCCAGAAGCATCTTCATCAAACTGAAATGACCAATTTAACCTTCTACCGGGCCCACCAAGGAATGGCAAACTCGTAAATAAATGTTCTTTGAAGGTCAAAGTAGTTCAAATAGAACACAAATAACACGTGTTGGAAATGCTGCATCAAACGCTTTATTCCTTTTTTTTTTTTTTTTTTTTGG